CGAATTGGTCGCAACACGAGGCAAATTTTCCCATACGGTTCAATGTAATTATCGTTAATCCGTTCTGGCGTCCGTGGACAACGCGTCAGGGGCGGAAAAACGGCTGCGGACCACGCAGCAGGGCGGAAAAATGGCCGCAGACCACGTGTCAGAGGCGGAAAAATGGCCGCAGACCACGTGTCAGAGGCGGAAAAATGGCCGCGGACCATGTGGCACGGGCGGAAAAATGACCGCGGACCACGTGTCAGGGGCGGAAAATGGCTGCGGACCACGCGGCAGGGCGGAAAAACAGCCGCGGACCACGTGGCACAGGCGGAAAAATGGCCATGGACCACGTGGAATGGGCAGAAAATGGCCACGGACCACGTGGAACGGGCGGAAAATGGCCACAGATCCGGTTCGTAAGTCGAGGCAAGTTCGCAAGTCGAGGTAAATTTTTGGGGCCGGAGCTGTTGTATCTCGAAAAATTCATAAGGAGGGGCGTTCGTAACTAGAGGTACCACTGTAGTTAAAAATATTTATATCACTCCATACATAAGTGATATAGTGACAGAGCAGTCAGATCAGTGGAATACAAATAAATGAGAGCCAGTTTGGTCTCGTGGTTAAGGTACCAGGCTAGAAAGCAGGAGACTGTTTTAGTCCCACCTTAGGCGTGAAAGCTGGCTGGGCGACTTTCGGCCAGTCAGTCTCCCTCAGCCCAACTCACCTCACAGGGTTGTTGTAGGGAAAATAGAAGGAGGAAGGACTATGGTATGCCTTGAGTTTATAAAAATAATTAGAAAAATAAATGTTATAAAAAATATATATAAAAATAATAAAGGCGGGATAAAAAATCTTTTAAAAAACCACTATCTGAGAATATTCCTTTGTTTCCCCTTGACAGCCTAAGCTATTTCCCCCAGCTGAAGAATTTGAAATAATTAACCAGTACAAAAATCCCAGGTATGGATATATGTGTTTCTTTCAATCTTTTATATCAACTCATTTGCAATAATCTCAGGATAAACATGAGATAAGTAACATTGTCAGTAAGCTTAACCTTGAATAAAACAGCTTTGATAATTGCATTTAAAACTATTACTAACTGATGTTAACTTGCCTTCAGATAAATAGTTGTGTAATAAGAATGCTTCTAATTGGTAGCACAAGTTTTGCACATGATTTTCTGTTTAGCAGCATAATTTCAGTTGGATAAAAAGAATTCACAAACTACCCACAGCATAAAAACTGAATGTATACTAACCTGATGCTAACGAAATATTGACTGTTTTTGGTTCTCCAGTTTGCCTATTACCTTAAATGTTAGTACTGTATTCAAGCATTCAAGCATGTAAATGGTGCTTTGTTATGACTGAGATTTGAGTAAAGTGCCCATTTGAAATGCCTCTGACAAATGTCCAACATCTAATCAATAGTTCAGACTAGACATACCACTCACTCAGTGAATGTGAATTCATATCCTGTCTTGTGAATGTGTAAAAACTATGATTTGCAAGGCAAATTGGACAATTAAGGAAAATTGGCTCTGCCTTGATTCTTTGTCAACAGAGAGCAGTCTGCCTCTGAGAGGTACTTCATTATATCAAGGCAGCACAACACGCCTCCATAAGGGACACACCTACTCCTATTAATATGTTTCCCAATGCTTGGGGAAAAGAAAGAAGTGTGTATTCCAGTAATAACAACATGCAGCATAGATACAAAACCAAATTAATAATTGGCAATAAAAAATACAACCATCTTCTTTGCTACAGAGGAATTACTCCTAAAATCTCAATATTTAAACCTAATTCAGTATGGATTATCATGATTTCCATTCTACTAAAATTAAGAGTAAACACTTCCCAGATTGAAATGAAGTCACATTCTCCAATATTGTTGCAGTTTTACATTGTGGCAGTATGTATCCCAAAGTAAAAATTAAAATAAACGAATCTTCTTTAGCCTTCAAGGTATTTCTCAAATCAGTCTTTGTTTTTTCATGGTTTTACCCTTTATATAAAATCACTGACAGAATTATTCCAGAGATTTTGAGCTAATGTATTATTATCATATGGAGATATATCAGTCTACTTCTCTTTCATCTCATTCTAGGAAATTGATATTTAATCCTGAGTGCTGAGAATTTGAAAGTTTACTCAAATGGATGTAGATGTGCAGCTGCTTCTGGAAATTGTAATAAATGGAAGCATTCTTTCTTTCTGCCCAGAGGACAGTCAAGATGGCTAACCGTTACTCTGAGAAAAAAGTTAGCATTAACTATTAACTAATTCAAACTAAAAAGGTCTGGTAAAAGAGGAATGTCTTAAGCAAAAAGGTTGTCAGCTGAATGCAACTCACAAGGGAGAAAGTGAAGTTATCTTTAAGGCCTTTCTTGTTGACCTTAATGTCCAGAAAAGCACCAAATCAAGATAGGCAGTCCTCAGCTCTCTAGAATGTAAAAGCAGAGGTATGTGTACCCCTATTATAGTAAATATATTTACTATCATATTATATATAAATAAGTATATATTTACTACTTACTATAAAACCATAGTAAATAGTAAACATAAATAAATATAATAAATTGAAAGAAATCCAGCGGCAAACTGTATTGCTGCCAAGCAAATCATGTGCAGATATCTATGTAATCATCAGATATCAAGCTCACTTCATGAGGGTCTTCACCTTTTAAAAGGATTTCAGATAACAATTCAGGGCTAGGATATGAAGGCCTTCTCCAAGAGATATTGTAGACCCCAAGACAACCGTAGTCAAGATAGACCAATGACCTTGCTCAGTATAAGGTAGTTTTGTATGAGTAATTCCCCCCAACCCAAGACACACAAATAAGGGGCAAGATTTCTGAACTGGAATACTACATGAAGTTCCAATTGTGCACATTTGTACATCAGGTCATATATTTAGATCACTATCATAAGGATATGGAACACTAGAATAGTGAAGTATACCACATGTAGTCTTTAAGAAATAAAGGCAAATGAAAAGACACTATTAATTTAATAGCCCATCACAAATTAAATGCAATGAATTAATGAACTGCTTTCCAAAGTGAAGTATTGGCCTGGGACATAATATAAAATTCTGTTTATTAAAATGATGCTAAATTGCAGTTGGCTGTAATTCAGAAATGTAATTTAATTGAACCAGAATAAGCACATGCAAGGTGGTGGTCTGGGGAATCCTGAAGAGTACAAAGTTTAGCAGTATTGCCCACGGCTAAAAGTGTTTCAGTATGCTTGGAATTGCATGTTTAAACCAGGCCAATATTAACTTAATATCTGAGTTCATGATCTTTGAAATAATGTTAAATTTTATAGCAACAAAATACTGGTAAGTAATTTTAATTGCACATGAAATATGGAATGCACCCAATGCTATGATCAGCTGTATCTTTTAAAAAATTATAAATCTTCAGATATTCTAATGTAGTAACAATTTATCTTGATATGTTTAATATGTCTAAATTTATCATTTTTTTTTCTTTATACCTAACAGTGATCTATTTAGTAGTACTGAAATACTACTACGTACTACATGCTACAACATGGCTAATGTGTTTTAGACTAATCACAGCTTTTCCTCAGTTTTCTAAACTCTTCACTGAATTCATTCATAAAATGATAGTACGTACAAAAAGTTTTAAATAAAATTATGTTTCTAGCAGTCATAATTAGACAGTTCCTATTCTCTATTCAGACTGAAACTAGGAAAACCACAAGTTCCTTACTGCAGCTTGATTTCCTCCAGAAGTTATAACCCAAAGCATTGAAAAACAGGAGGACAAACTGCAACATCATCATCGTATCACAGAAACAGTTCTTATACACTTTAACTGCATAGCTAGCTAGGTTTTACCTCTCTCTTTCTGTGGCTTGGAAATCTGAATTAACTTTGCATACACCAGAAACCAACAGATAGGCTTATAGAAAACATGAATCATTAGAAGGCAAGCAGTAAAATTCCACCCTGTAGTCTGGCAGAAGTGAGGGCTACTGGATGGAAGTAGTATTTGGAACATATACCAATAGCAGAGCTTCAGGAGACACAGAGGGGAATAATGGTAAATTTTAGTTATATGTCAGGGCTATTAAGAGCACCTGCATCTTTGAACAGGTAGATCTTGTTCATAGTTTTGCTGAAGAGTTTTTACAAACATTCTTGAACTGATGTTGATTCTCATTTCCAGCTCTTTTCTTATCAAAGCTCTAGTATGTACAGTATATTTATGATCATACATAATGTCCTCAGGAAAGAAATAAATCCAGTGAATATGTCAGTATGATAATCCAATATATAGTCCTCCCTATATTGAACATTTTGGGACCATAATTACTTAAGAGACCATCTCTTCCCAGTTGTTTCCACCTGTCCTATCCAGTCTGGTAGGATGGGTGTGCTCTGCATCCCATTGGCTAAGGAATGTGGACTGGTAGAGTCCAAATGATGAGCCTTTCTGCCATAGCACCTGTCCTCTGGAATATTCTCCCTGCGGAGATCAGGATGGGCCTGACCCTGCTGGCCTTTCATATGGCCTTAAAGACCTGGCTCTGTGCTCAGGCCCAGGGCCCCAAGTGCATGAAGGGATCCGTCTTCTGGCTACATCAATGACTGCTGGTCTTCTTGGCTGCTGTGTATTTTAATTTTTGTATATGTCTTTCTTTTATTTTTATTGTTTGCTGCCCAGAGTCATTGTTGAAATGGGTGGTTATATAAATTGATTAAATTAATAAATGACTATTTACTTCTTTTTGCATGTGTGTTATGGAGATATCCCAGTTCTACCAGTGGTGATTTCTCCATGCTGAATTTATTAGTGATACAGACACCAAGCAGATACTAGTTTTCTCCAGTCAAACAGGCTAGCAAAGTTGATAAGAATTACTGATACAGTAAGCATAAATGTTAATGGTAATTACAATTTCTTCTAAACAAGACTTAGAAATACATCTCAAGTTTTTATTTTACCTATTCTTTACCATACCAAACACGGAGGCTGAAATATGCAATGGTAATTCCATATATGCAATTGTGGAGCTCTGTGATACTGCAGCAGTTGTTAAAAAGAAGAAAAGAAAAAGCAGTGAAGAAAATTAACCGAAGCTGCCCATCTGATATTTCTGTGGCCAAATAAATCATTTTTTTTCTAGAGGCCTTTCCACAAGCGCTTTTCTTTGCGGGGGTGGGGAGGATTCGGCTTGTAAAAAGAAATGTAAGATTTGCTTAGGTTTGCATTACCTCAGAGTAATTTGAAGCCCAGCTGAACTCCATAAGCAGCAATCAGCCTTGTGCCTGTGACATCACAGCACTGAGCCATCCCCCTCCCCCAAAACTAGCATAGTGTAAATGTCAATTTTTCAGCTTAAGGAAATCATTCACCCAGGCACTCAGCAGAAAAAAAAAAAAAGACCCTTGCTTTTGTGGCAAGGTTCAGCCAAGATAAGCTCAGATTTCTGAAATGCAGGGGGGTAAATACACAGTATATGAGTGTTTCCATTCTACCTTCCCCAAGTAAGCAGCTCATTACTAGGGTCATGACAGCCAGTTTGGTGTAGTGGTTAAGGCATCAGACTAGAAACCAGAAGACTGTGAGTTCTAGTCCTACCTAGGCACAAAGCCAGCTGGGTGACCTTGGGCCAGTCACTTTCTCTCAGCCCTAGGAAGGAGGCAGTGGCAAACTACTTCTGAAAAAACCTTGACGAGAAAACTGCAGGGAATTGTCCAGGCAGTCTCTGAGAATTGGACACGACTGAATGGATAAAAAAAGAAAAGAAAAAATTGGGTCATGCTGTGGAATAGTGTTCCTCCCTTCCATCAGAAGGTGTAAACAGATTAGTAGGAAGAGATAAAGATCTATCTATATACTATGAAAACTCTCACATATGTAACCTTCAACTGGGCAAAATGGTGCATCATAGGGCAACAAATTTTGAACCAAGGTACCTCAAATGGGTTAACTTACAGAATGCATCCAAAATCTGGGACCCATTACTCCTGAGGGATTGACATTTGGGAAATGTGTGGCTGCTTCAGCACTGCTGCACTGCCATGCTGTGCAGTCAGCCCAGGTCATGTGATTGTCACAGGCATATCCCCAACCTCCTTCCTGCCTCCCTCTGATCCCTGTGACCAATCGGCTGGCAGCAAGGCCCAACAGGCGAGCGGCCATTGGCTGCTTTGGAACCAAGGCTGAAATCTGAAATCTCTTAATGGCAATGGGCACTGAGGGAAGGATGAGGGAGCGACTTGGATGCCTGCTGGTGAAGTAGGGCTGGCTGGGGGGCACTAGCGTTGACAGGTGAGCCCTCTTCCTCCCTCAAGGGGGACAGGCCAGAATGAGGAGCGGGAGTGCAGTTCTCCTTGCAGTCCGTGGCTCCCTTTGTTCCACCTCCCCCACCAAGTGGCAGGCAGTTCTGCGGGTCAGCCAAGGAGGAGGAGGAAGAGGCTCCACTGGGGCTTTCCTGAGGGTCGTGAAGGGAGGGCAAACAGAAAGGGAGGGAGGGAGGTTTCTGAGGCTCCCCGCCAGCTTCCCACAAGCAAAGTCAATGGGGAGGCGGGCAGCAAGTCACAAGTCGCTCACACTCCCACTGCTTTTTTGCCCTTGGTCATTCTGTTTCTCTGTTGAGGTAAGGAAATATCTCTGAAACGATGACCCAATGGGTCACAGGTTGTCTAGTATTAACTAAATGCCTTGTTTGTAACGTCCAAAGACAGCTTCAGCAGCTATGTCTTTCACTCCTTTTCCTTAGTTTCCCTGGCCTGAAAATACATGAGCAGTATTTAATAAAAATAACAGCTAGCTGCTAATGGAATGGCAAGTTTGCTGTTTCTCAATCAAGCCATGCTGTTTCCTTTTCAGCCCAGCACTTCAGATAGGTCACCTTCAGCCAGCAGAATTCCCAAGGCACCTGATCCAGGGAAACTGCCCTAGAATATTATATCTGCAAAGACCACAACACATAGATTAAAAGCATGCAATTTTTTTAAAAAAATGAACATGGAGCTACAATTGGCTTGGAAGAATGACTGATAATTCTATATTCTGTCTTTACTTGTTGCAGCCCTAAGCACTCAACCCAGAAGCTAGAGTTGGGGTGGAATCTCTCCATAGCCGTTTGTTCATTCCAACTGAACAAATATTTGATAGTGCATTGATTTCCTGTTCAACTAATATGTATATTTGTATTTAAAAGACTTATATAGTTGCCTATCTTATATACAATAATCCTGAGCAGCTCACAACAGTATTATTAGCCAAGCTTCAAAAGCTTTTTGGTACTTGGGAATGCAATTTACATCTCACAATATTCTGACTTCACACATGGACCTCCTGGCTTTTGTTATGTTGCAGACTGTGTTTGTGTGGTGGAACCAATAATGTAAATAAAGGCTACCTCCATGTATGCAGAAATAGATGAGGAATGTCTGATTACACAGGTATATGGTTTATAACTTTTCATTTGCCTAAACATGAAATTTCAGATTTGTGAGGCATAAAATGCGGAAACTAATATGCAAAACAATTTGGAAAAGAAGACAAATATAATGATATGGCCATATTGCATATCTTTTTTCTTTTTAGTGAAAAGTGCAAGCATTTTTTTCAGTTAGACTAAGTTTCTCCACAGCTTTGCCAGGTGGGAATAGTACTTGTTCATAAAAGCCACTTGCAAAAGATATAGAAGCTGAATAAACAAGAAACATATTCTTGCTTTCAGTGCCAAATAATTGCTTACTGCTTATCTTGTAGATTTAGAGGAAGAATTCTGCTGAATTTGCTGCAAGAAGCAACATAGAAAGTAAACAGTAAACTGCTACCATGAATTTAATTAGTTTGTTAGCTAGAAAATTATTAAGAGAGCAAGTACAGGTTTACTTAAAAAAGCAGAATTAGCATTTTGCTCTCTGCAACAGGGTTTAAGAACATCTCAAGAGGCATTCTTCTAGGCCCACTACCATATTTGAAGATGAAAAAGGTTTTGTGAAAGGTTACTAAATGGCAAAAAAACTAATTATCCCAAGTAATACTAAATAATGCTACCATCTCTCATTAGGATCGCCTCATTAGTGACCACTTCTTGGGATAAAATATACATGCTTTACTTTAAGGAAATATTAGCTGTCCATAAAACTGAGGGGGGAATTTTCTCCTGTTCTTTTTTTCCCACTGAACTATATTAGGATCTATCAGCCAGTTTTTCACTGTTCCCAAATAGAGGGTGGAGAGGCTTTTATTCTCCCTGTCCATTCCCAGTAAGCAGGTCTACCAATTAATCACATCTAAAAGGAAAATTACCTAGGTGATTATTTGATCGTAATTTTTGTACTCTATATGCATGTTGAGATTCAAATACAATTTTAAGATTTCAATGAACCAAACAGAAGACAAAATTCAGCACAATCTTCCATTTAAAACTTTTAGTAGTTCCAGAATTACAGTAACTCTCTTCTGCTTTTTAATGTCTGTGCAGCAATTCTGATTTGAAGGGAAAAGATGATTTAGAACACATATGGGCACATATATTGCATCTGTCAACAACTCCATAAAGCGTTATCTTTTCCTGGCGCTACATGACAGCAACCACTTGATCCCATGAGATTTAAAGGATCCACTGGCAGAAGTGATATGTGTGCCTCCACATAATGCAAATTAAAAAAAAAAAGTTGCACAATCTCCTTTCCCCACTGATTCCATTTTCTCCAAAACATGAGTAGAGGATAGGACCCATTTTTGCTATATTCTTGGACTAAGTTGATTATCCAAACTATTATTCTGCTATGCCACTCTGAGATAGGTCATAGTAAAACTTTGAAAATCTTAAATATATCTACATTCACAACTATGTATATAGCACAAATGCACAAACAATACAGCAATAAATCCAATGGAACTCAAAGAGTATACTGCTTACTGATTTAGTAAAAAGGCTCATTGTTAGCAATAAAACATGGTTCCAGGCTGGAGGACCTGTTTTACCATCTATATTATGTACCTTATTCAGACATTTGTAATTAATGTTAATTTCATATTGTATGTTGCATTATTTAATCTTTCATTTGGGCTTCAACAAAACACACTTCCTAGGATTGCCTTTCTCCCTCTTGTTAAAATATTATTTATTTAATGAAACAGAACAAAGAGAAAAACAAAAAGAGGGGGGGGAAAGCCACATGCATATGATTTAGAACACGTATGGGCACATAAGTATATGTGTGTGCATGTGTGTGTGTGTCTGTCTATCCCTCCCTCCTTTCCCAATTTTCAATAAAACAATAGCCATATTTCATTATAACTGTCCTTACATAATTTAAGTCTGTAAGCAGCTTGTTCATTAGTTGCAACATCAGGTCTTCATTCCACTGAGTGATTTGTGCTGTAAATTTACCTTTCCAATGATGAAGGACTAGTCTTTTAGCAGTAAGTACATTTGTTGTTGTTGTTTAGTCGTTAAGTCGTGTCCGACTCTTCGTGACCCCATGAACCATAGTAAGTACATGGGTAATGTCAATTTCTATGTAACAGGTACACAGCTGAAAAGAATATGAATGTCTGAAAATATTAAATCTTGTCCCAAAGTCGCATTAATATTTGGATCTATTTCTTTTCAGAACATAAAAACTTTAGGACACTGAAAAACAAATGTTTGAATTAAGCAATATTCTGGCTGCATCTCCAACAACACAATGATTTACTCATTCCTTTTCTGTACGAACACAATAGAGTCAAATATATCCGAAATATTTTTTTGCTGTATAAACTGCAATCTGGTGAGGTTTTGGTATTATGGTTACAATATTTTCTCATTGTTACATAAAATGGTGATCTCCAGTTCCTTATTCCATCCAGTCTTTATATCAAACCAATGTACTGATAACACATGTTTATGAAGACTGATTGTGGGCTTTTGGTCTTGTAGGGTTTACTGATTCCTTCTAATAACTTAAGTGTCTCTGAGGATGAAAATGCTCCTAGTCCAAATCAAAGTATTAATAAATGTCATAACTGTAAATACAGCAAGTGGGTGATAACAAACAAATGACATTTATCTTTTAACACAGAAAATGATTAAAACTCATCATTATCATCCAATAATTGATCAAAGTAAAAATCCTAGTATCCAAACCATATAGCTATTTCTAGATCAATTCTAAGCTCTGAATTACCCCATACAATGTATTTAGTGTAGAAAAAGGACCAAAATACACATTTCAGAAATAACATACCACACATTTCAAATTAATAGCGGCATAAAATATATCTATTAGATTTTGAACCTAAAATTGTCCAATTAACTAACAGAACAATGCATGGTGTTTTTTGGGAAAAAAATTGTGGCCTTTTAAAATTCAGTGAAAATTATTCGGCAGATTTAGCTAAGTGCTCAAAACTGAAAGCAATCCTTAATATATAGCATATATTTTTCTTTTTTTGCTGTTTAATCTCAGTAAAGGGACTGTTTTGTTAGAATCTAACCTGGATTCCCTTATCATATTGACTTTTGGCAGACTGTTGAAACACTGGATATAAGAAATCCAATTTAGCTGAGGTCACATTTATTTCTAAAGATCTGACAATTTCTCATAAGATAGTCTCTTACCATCTTGACCTTGCTAAATTGCTGGTTATATGCATTTCATTATCTGTAGTTCTTCAAAACATCCCAACCCTCAGCACTAGCTCAAGGGCTCAACAAGAAACAGGTGCATGTAATTTAATGGTAGTTTGTCAGCATACAGATTACTAATGTGTCATTAAGCTAATCTTGTGTCCTCCTACAAGTAGGTCAAAGCTTTTTACTTTGCTGGTCAATCCATTTAGCTGTTCTCTTCCTCCCTCTGCAACAATCCCATTTTGCATATTTTAGTTCCATTCAGTAAAGTTTCTTTCATGGATGCAATAGCAATAAAATAATTTTAGAAAAAAGGATAAAATCTTACTTTTACCTGTTGATCATGCATTGGCTTGGCATGTCTATGTGAATTTTCTGTTTTTAGATGTTAAAAGCAGATGTTTTAAAGGAAATTTTTTTTTGATACCAATAAAGTGGGTACTATCAGAGCATATTCATTGCAAACCAAATTGGGGGATTGTTACATTAAAATGTTTTTAAAAATACCCACAAAACACTATATTTTAATGTGTAAGCCATCAGAACTCACTGCGATTTCTTTCCAAATCAATATTTACAGGCCATCAATCATGCAACTGTAGCTGTTCACCATGAAATGTCTATAAAAAGTTATTTTAAAATGTAGCGAATACAATACAGGTAGTCCTTGACTTACAACTGTTCGTCAGTGACTGTCTGAAGTTACAAACGGGCTGAAATAAGTGACTTACAGCTGGTACCCAAAGTTATGGCCATTGCAGCACCCCTGTGGTCATGTGATCAAAATTTGAGTGCTTGGTAACCTGCCCACTTACAACCACAGGGGCGCTTCAACTCCCCCTGCTGCCCCATGCTCCACTGCCCCAGATGACCTTCACTGTCTTCTTGCTTTTGCTGCTGACGAGGTGTGCCTGGCCTGGCTGCTGGGCCGGGCTTCAACTGCCAAAAAAAAAAAAGCTGAAATTATCCCAAGCCCTGGCATGCCAAAATGCCGCTTTGCACCTCACTCTTGGGTGGGGCTGGACTGGGCTTTTGCTTCATGCTGTGAAAAAAGAATAAAAAGCCAGAAGCCCAGCCCAGCCCCAGTGCGGAGCATGGCAAAAATGGGCGTTTTGGCATGCCACGCTCCAGGAGCCTTTTGCACAGGGGCATTTTGGTGCACCAGGGCTGTGGGGCTGCTTTTGGCTTTTTTTTTCTTCTTTTTTTGCAGCTGAAGCCCAGCCCAACCTGGTCCAGCAGCCAGCTAGGGCATGCCTCTTCAGCAGTGAGAGCAAGAAGATGGCAAAAGTCAGCTGGGGTGGCAGAGCACAGGTCACCAGGGGTCTCAGAGTGCAAGGTGGCAAGGGCAACCGCAGCTGGGACTGGGCTGGGGTGGCTGCAGCTTCCAGGGGCGTAACAAGCAGCCCCAGAGCAAGGAAGGATGCAAGGCAGCCAGAAGGACACAGATGGGGGGAGATAGGCAGGTGGGGGGAGTTGGTGGCAGTCCCTTACATTACTGAGGCTTGGGGCTGAGAGGGACCAAGCTCAGAACGGCTTGGATTGGGGTGGGTACTCACTTAATGACCCATGATTCTGAGTTAACAATGGCAGCTGGGACTGCTGGCATTGCAGTCGCTAAGAGTCATGTGATATCTCACTTTAGCAATGGAAATTCTGGTCCCAATTGTGGTTGTAAGTTGAGGACCACCTGTAACACAAATAGAGATGACTGGTAAAAGAGCTAGCTAATCTTTGCATCCATAAAAGCAAAAAAAAAAAAAAGTATAGTAAATGAGCACAAATACAGGGCTGCCGTTGTTTATTCATTCTATAATGCTTAAGAACAAGTAAATTCCTTCAGTATCTATTCTTCCTAATGCATCTTACTTCAGACTGCAGTTGGGGGTTGAATGTGGTTATCAAAGACTCTCCCACCTATGCAATACTAGCATGCCAGTGAGACAGCCAGCTAAGAGGGCTTTTTTTTTTTTTTTGGCCACACAATTTTTTGACAGACCAGGTGAAGATCTACTGATGGGAGAAATAAATTAAAAATACATTTTCAATTTAGAGAAGATCGTAGCAGATGATACTGTTACTCAGCTCAGTCTTTTCATAGTTTACTGTCTGCACTTTTGACCTTCTACACTTCTCTGTTCAGTTTACTGTTTGCACTTTGCATTCTGGCTTCTGACTACTGAGGTGATGTAAACTGAAACCAAGCCGTGAAGACTTACAAACATATAGAATATGTATAGTCTTGCTTAAGGTGACATTTCTTAATTTGTTAACAGTGTAGCTCCAAGCTTGGCTGCCATAAACTATAAAACTACAGAAAATGCAGGATTTCCCCCTTGTTTGAAACAGGCACAAAATAATCCTATCAGTCTGACAGTGGAACAGAGTAGAAAAACAATATTTTAATGTTAGTTTTACGAATTCACAAACAAAATTTATTGCACCAATGCCACAAAAAAATTGACACAAGTGATACTGCCTATTTACAATCAAAGTAAGAAGCTTCCAGAATTTGACACTAGTACCCATACTCACATGGAGTACTTGCATGTTCTCTCTGGAGACATCCTACAGAACCATACTTCTTTCCCTAATAAGTAACATGTTACTTCACTAAATCCAAGTAACCAACTTCATTGACACAGTTTGTGAAAGAATTGCTGCTCTTTGAAAAGCACAGCTGTTATTCTGGCATTTCGAAAGTCCACTCCTCTTCAGCAATTATCAGTTTGGTGGAAGATGAAAACAATTTGGAAAATTAAAAGAAATAAGGAGTTCCAGAACAGCTTATTTCAGATGAGATACCCAGAATGTGGCGAGTTTTCAAATATCAGACATCAACATTTAAAATTTTGAATGCAATCATGTATATTACAAATTACTTATCCACATTTCATTCCCCCATTCTTAAAAAAATCACTCATGCTTTGTGTTGGAAAATATGACCCATGGACATCTAAAGATATTTGCTCCAATTTCAGAATCCTACCCTTACTCTACCAAGTTTGCTTATTTTTATTCTAGATATAAAATACTGTTATAATACACCATTTAAAAACCTTTCAGAATATTTTAAACTGAAGACACCATTTCCTATTATTGTCAGTTTCAGTTTTTCTCATGCACATTTATCACTTTAACTATAAAAAAATTAACTAAAGCATGCTAATAAAAAAACATCCATGAATAATCATGGGTATAGCTTTTGCCCAGCAAATGCTCTGGCACAATCCTTCAGAAAGTTCAACAAATGCAGAAATTTGAAATTGACCCGAGTAGCAACTTATTCAATTAACCGAGGTAGTACTATTTTAGGTGGAAAAGTGAAAACAGTTTATTTTCCCTAGAAGATAAAAAAGGCAGTCCTAATCTAGGGCCATTTTTCAATGTAAACATGATGAAAGCTATCAATAGTTTTTTTTAAAAAGGAAGAGTATATCTATTTTCTAATATCTTATTAGATAACATTATCTAATATCTGGGATAATGTAGCATTAATACAAATGGTATGTACACCCTGAAAAGGTGTGTAAGGAAATTTAAGAACTGCTTGCTAGCCCCAGCATTTTTTTTCACAATGGATCCTCAGTTTAAAAAGAAATAATTATGTTTCTTTTATTAAAAAGGCTGGTTTGCAGCAGGTACGGAAGAATTTTGCTATGGATACATTTCTAGATGCTATAAAACAGGAATGTCAGAATCTCAGAGGATTAAATGTTGCAATGAAAGTTTTGGCAAGAACTAAACAACAAATAAAAAGGAAAAACAAGGAAATGGCAGAATATTAAGCCATTACATGGATAAACTTTGCATCAACAATTACCAGCACTACTTATGTCATTGCCAACACTTTTTACCTCCATGTAGCATTGTTCTATCCAATACAGAAATGTTATTAGAACGATAAAATAATCTCATCACTGAACCATTTGGGAGCCTTCTTAAAAGACCCCCTTCTAACTTGTAATAATAATACAAAGTGCTTGATAAAGTTAACAACTTCTAAACTGAATCTTTAGATCAGGGATAGAGAGCCAGTGGTTCCCATATGGCTAAATTACAACTTTCAGCATCCTTCGCTAGAGGCAATGCTGGTAAGGTAGCTGGGGAATACAGTTCAGCATTTGAAAGGCTACAGGGTTCCTATCCCCACTGCAAAGTAAAATCCTAGATTTGAAACCCAAGATGTACAAGGATAGAGATGCATATATTACTTCAGACAAATAGGGATAGATGTCATTTATGCCTGGTCCTATGATCTTCTTTAGATTCAGGACAATGGAAGGCACCAGAAAGCTAGTGTAAAATATTCTGTGGGATTTTTCACATGTCTGTAATTATCTTAATTAATTGATTGTTATTATGGTTACCTCACTCTTCCCACATAACCACCCTGGAATTTCTTCTGAACATTTCAATCATTTACGCTAAAAATCAATCATGTTTACTAAAAAGTTATCAGGGCAATGATACAATTACCATTCAGAATAAGCTACCCAGAGTTTATGAAAGTTGATAACCATATTGGTTCTTAACTGTCAACGCTAAGTTTTTGGAGCTGGTAGCACAGGAAAAATTTCCATATTTCATCTTCATTTTCACATGACCTGGAAATTAGAATTCAAGATGAGGCCTTCAAGACGTGGCATATGCAGTAAGGTAAATTTGAAGCAGACTTTATGCGAGTTTCAAGTACTTTCTCTGACTTTCATTTAATGACACAAAATTATTTCTTCTTCCTCCTCTTTTTCTTTGAATAAAACTGCAGGTCTCTTGGTTTCCTTTGCCCATTTGAAGAACCAGCCACCAATCAAGTTTTACCTAGTAGCTGAATTCTGAACCCTTCTTCTGAAGAGAGGCAATTCTGTGCAGGCAAGCATACAGGTCATCTTGTTTATAGAAGCACAGGAAAATATATGTTTATATAATTTGCTTAGAATTCCTTATTCGAAAAATTCAGAAGAATATGACAAATGCAACAATAAGGAAATTGTATTTTTGATGTTCTGTTTAACTGGCTACTACACATAAACAACTTACCCATCATTAGTGTTTAATCCTTTCATTCATTAAAAAACAAGGATGCATAACAATATAAAAACCCTGAATATCTTTTATGTCATGTAAACTAAAAATCCACTGATAAATATTCACATAAAAGGCAGGAAACCAAATGGGATGCAATGAATTGCTGTCACAAACTCTCTTCATTGCTTATCTCTTTGTGTCTGTTCTTCACTCCCAAATCTTTGAGAGAACAGAGTTTGTCTGAAAGTATTTAACTTAGAGGAGTATTTGAGCTACATATGGAGAATGAGTACTTGCTATAGCAGCCAGCAGAGGCAGGTCATTGGATTCAATCCTATAAATGAAAATGAGAAAGCATTAATATTTAAGCTACAGAAAGGTATTAAAGCATTCCAATCAGCTTTCAACTGGGGCTAATGAGTAAAGCTATATATATTTAAAAAAGTCTTCCATTCTGTATGTATTTACCTTCTTGAACACTATGAGAATCTTTTCTTTAAAAACTTATATTCACTTATATTATATTATTGGTCTGGGACCATAAATAATAAAGAAGATATTCACATTTAAATGTTCTTTAAGACTTTTCAAACTATACATGGATAATCATTCTATCAGTGATACTAAAAGACATACTGACGCATTAAACCAAGAATAGACATCTTGCAGCCCACCCCCTGACATTGAATATGGTCCCTAGAATTGTTGCTGAATTGTTGTTTTTAATGTGCTTGAAAGGGAAAAAAAAGAAACACATGGACAGCAATCACAATAATTATATTCAATTAACTTATTTTACTTTTATTTCAATTAAAAATAAATCAAGTGTAGGTTTTATACTGGCACCACTCACTTTTTGGGGGGGAGTGTGGCCTTCTGGTATGCCACTTAAAGGTCAAGTAAGTATCAGCTGAAAAAAGTTGTGAAACCTTGCTTTAGTCAGTCAAATATATCTGGCCTCAAATTGTCAAATTGCATAACCAAAGATATATCAAAAAGCTAATTAACAGTACCAGAGAGCAATCTATTGCCAGAAAAAGGTAATTTGGTATCCCAAAAGGTGGTACCAAACAAAATAAATCTATAGTAAGACAAGGTAGTAGTGCTAGTTGAAATCGATAGTCAGTGTATCAAACTGTTTCAGCAACTTTTGACTTGTGTCCAATATTTCAATTTAGCCAAGCTGGTTGATGGGAATGGCACTGCAACTACAGAGATCTTAGATTAAATGAATTATCTTAATTATGTTCAGTTTCTAGGCACACACAGATTTGGCATAGAGACAGCACAGATTGCCTTTATGAATCTGCATTGGGAGATGGGGGCACACAAACCAAAGATCTCTTGGTGGATTTGGTATTATTGGCTGCAGTATACTGTTGGAGCATTTGGAGAAGATAGTATTAGGAAGCCGCTCCTCAGCATTGTGTGTGTGCGCGCATGCACATCTCCCATTAGCTCTGATTTTATATTCTCTTTTATTTAGCATCTATTTAAAGCCACTAGTGAGGTTAACTTAAACATGTGGCACTAGTTTTTATCAACATACTTAACTGTACTTTTATCAACATGATACTTAGTTGTACTTTTTATTTCTGTGTCTCTTTATTCCTGCCATATGTTGTTTTGGTCTAATTGTGTTAATCTATTTATTAAATTGTGAAATACATACCATTCAGAGTCTAATGGATTGCAATGGCATACAAACTCTAAACATAATTAAACAAACATCTGATCAATTGAGGATTGGAGATCTGAAGAGCTCCCTCTGTCTCCAGGATGTGAATTTATGTATGTCACCTCAGTCATCTACATAGCTCTAGGTAAAGACTGGATGTGGCTGAATATATTGAAGTTGAATTCAAATATGACCTTTGTTACTGATTCTTCAGGCTGAAGTCCAGGATTCTGGATATAGATATCTATTTTTGATGGGACTGCACTACCCCTCAAAGAATAAGCTTGCATTCTTGATTGGTCCAGAATTCAGCACTAATAATGTACAGACAAAAGTCTGAGCTGGTGCTTCACACATTTGTAACTTCATGGCTGGACTATCTCTGAGTGGGTCTGGGAAGTCAGTATTTTCTGCTGTAATTCTTTTACCATATCCACTTATCCCATTAGGCAGTGCTGGCTATAATACCTCTTCTTTTGTTAACAGAGAGCCAATTTGGTGTAGTAGTTAAGATGTTGGGCTAGAAACCAAGAAACTGTGAGTTTTAGTGCGCCCCGCTTAGGCATGGAAGCCAGCTGGGTGACTCTGCACCAGTCATTCTCTCTTAGCCCAACCCACCTCATGGGGTTGTTGCTGTGCAGAAAATAGGAGGACAAACCAGTATGTATTTACCAAAGCATGCATTTAATTGCTTCATATGCAATAAAAACTTAACATCACACAGTTATTGCAAACTTCTCTAACTATTGCTCTTAGCAATCTTTGAAGGCATGTTCGGTGTTGTGATTCAGCAAAATCTTAAGATCTAAAGGGTCCTTAACCTGAGTTAGATATCTTACAAATCAATGACTCATGAATAACACAGATAAGTCAACTTTCTTCTATGAGTGGACACAATTGATGAACCAACTAGACACAAATCTCATCAGAAAATCTATGAGTAATCTGAATTCAGGTATATTTTACAATGTTGTCCATATTTTCACTTTCTAGGAAGAGATCCATTTTCATATTTGTGGAAAAAAATATTCCAAATGTTAATGTTAATAGGTTTTGCAATTAATTATGTTAATCTGGCCAATCAAACTGAGTGATGTGATATACACCATATCTTTCAAACATGGAGATCAATTCTCAACCTTCTATTTGCATTGAAAGTAGCTTATTAGTAACCATGGTTAAAATTATTCCTCCAAGATGCTCTTCCGACAATGAAAAGAACATCCTTCCCTTTTTTCTTTTAGTTATTCAGAAATAAAAATGGAGCAATTATTACTTAAGGTCAGGAATACAATGCTAACTAATGAATATCACACTACATCTTCATCTCTTGACATGCTTAAAACAAGATATCCTGATCTTAAAGCCAGAAATAATTAAAACTGATACATTTTCCCCTGTTCAATCTGATACTGACAGAGGATTCTACATATAAGAGAGTCCTTGAGAGCTTCTGCCTTTTTAAATTTCATTTTATTCAGAAAGTAAAGGAGGATAGAAATTTCATTTAATATAACAACTCAGTTTGATTTCCAGCTGGCCCAATGCAACATATACATACATACACATACTACAATGTGCCTTCTGCAGAAAACCTGACACAAGAAAAGGTCATCCATCCTGAATATTCATTGTATAAAAAGATGATTAAAAACAATACCCTTAGGCTTTAATTTTAGCAGCACTCACCCCAATACCACTCCAAGCTCTTTCACATGAACTCTTGTTTGTCCTCGCAAATATTTAGATAGCATTGTGCTTTTATGGTACATTTCCTGTAGGCGATCCTCAAGGTGCATTATACACTGTCAATGGAAGGAAAAACACACAGAGATAAAATCAAATAGAATAGTGTATAATAAAGTGTGCAACTTATACAGTACATGTAAGTAACAAAATACTAGTTTTGTTGGGACTACACTGAAGTTCTGCCTAGGTCAGTATTTTATTGTCTAGACTAACAATCTTCCAATGAAGCCAAGATTAATCAAACTCTGCCCTTCCATAGAGCAAGTGCCCTTACCATGTGGGGTTGTCATATGAAACATAATGTGAATATTATTAGAATATAAGTAATGAACACCCCAAGAACATCTGTCCACCCACATGCTCCTAGAGGGAGGGCATGCTTCAGGTTCCTTCTTTTAAATCTTGTCATGTTATGGGACCCAGGAGGCATGCCTTTCCTGTGGTTGCCCCTGTTCTCTGGTATGATTTCCCCCCTCCCCAACATATGACAAGCTCCAACGCTTCTAGTCTTTAGCAAAGCCGTTAAGATCTGGCTCTTCCCCCAGGCATTCAGGACCAATTGAGTGAGAGTCCCTCCTTTCAGTTGTTCTGTTATGTGCTAGTCACCATTTTATATTTATATACTGTAACAGCTTATTGTTGTTTTAT